CACCCACCCCAAAAATATAAATAATAAAAATAAAATAAATTCTCTGAAGACAATTGGTTGAGAAGATGGTTTGATCCGTCTTGCAAGCATCTGGAATAACCCCTGCCTCCTTGTACTAATTTCCAATAAAACATCCCCGCATTCCAACTTTGATACTGGTAAGGTGATTTGTGATGGGGAATAATCAATAATACCATAGGTGTTGCTCGTGTCATGCTTTTCTTATCTTTAAATTTTGGAATTGCAGGGTTTAAGTTTCAGAGCCAGGGAAGCACGATGAAGGCAGAGTTCTAAGCTATTTTGAAAGCTTTTTGTTTGATCAGGGAGAAAAATTGGGAGTTGATGTTGTTTACAGATTCTCTTCCAATAGTTATCTTCTTTTTTTTTTTTTTTTGTTAAGATGAACCAGTCTCTCGGTCAGATCAATGTTAAACAATACGTTAAGATATGTAAATAGATCCTGGGTGGAACCTGCACATAGGCTAGCACAATTAATGAAGTTTTTATTTTTATTTTTAATAAAAGTAAGGGGGCTACACCTAGGCTAGCACAATTAATGAAGTTCGAGGATCATATCGAATGCAGGTTTGATGTCCTTCCGAGGGGCATTATGGACAATGTTGATGTAAATGCTATTTATTTTATCCATCAAAAAGAAAAAAGTGGAAACAATTTTTTCATGTCATTTGTATAGTGTCAGGAGTGTCCAACAGTTTCACCTTGGGAACTCAATAGCATTGCCAAAGTCCTTTGTATTATATTAGTCTCTAGGAGCTGGATGGTAAAATATTCGGAAATCATGGTTTTTACTGGGTCGAACAGTCCGATCATTCAAATCAAACGATCAACCCATTCTGACAAAAAATTAAAAAAAAAGGGTCAAAACTGTTCGAATAGTTAACAGACCGGGTCAGCGGTTTATTGACCAAAATCAACGGTTTTTGAAGGAATTCTAGTTTTGGGGAAAACCAAAACCGGTCACCTGACCGGTTCTCAGTTTTTCCGGTCTGGTTTTGAAAACCATGTCAGAAACCATATTAAAATAACAAATCTCAAATAACATTTACTTTAGAAGAGATGAAAACTAATCAATAAGGCTCAGTTTGGAAGGAATACAAATACAAATTTGTAGAGTGCAAAACCTTGTATTTTGTATGTATTTGCACTGTACATATTTGTATTTGTACTCTTTCCAAATTGAGCCTAACTGTAATGGATTCAACTGACACAATCATAGTTTTCAAGGCGCCAAGGCGAGGCTAGGCAACAGGTGGGTGCCTTGTCACCTAGTCGCCTATGCAAGCACCTATGTGATGGATTTTTTTTTTAAGTAAAAATCACATATCGTAAGGTAGTTCCCTAGGTTCCATAACTTTCTTTAATAATTACCCATAATTTTCACAAGAAGCTTCATGTTTAAGTCTAAAAAATCAACATATCTATGAGAATAAAAAGAAGAAAGGAAAGAAAATTCAAAAAATATAGAGGCTGAATCATGGTTTTCAAAACCGGACCGGATTGGAAAAACCGGGAACCGGTCAGGTGACCGGTTTCGATTTTCCCCCAAACTGGAATTTCTTCAAAAACCGTTGATTTTGGTCAGAAAACCGCTGACCCAAGCGATTAACCGTTCAAACGATTTTGACCATTTTTTATTTTTAATTATTTTTTATTTTTTTGTCAGAACGACACCATTTGGTTCTAACGGTTGGACCATTCGACCTGGTAACCAAACCCCTGACTAGTTCAGTCTCCATGGGTGGGTTTTGATTGGTCAAAACTCCTCCCATACCATATCTTTTTTGCATCATAAATTTTTCCAAGAAAATAATAAAAAGAAATTAATTTATAAATACAAAAAATGAATATTTTTCTTTAATAATGCCTATTTTATAATTATAATCTCAAAAAATTAATAATATAAAAGTATTTTATTACACAGTATCCAAAACTGCTTGACGACTGGGCGAGGCGAGCCTCCAAGGGCGGTGATAGCCTTATCGCCTAGGCGTCACCTTGACAACTACGGACACAATGTCAAATCTACTGTCAAAGAATCATATGCATTCATTAATGGAAGCTCTTACATTGGCCTTTCATAGAAGCATCCAACCTTAAAAAGCTACTGGTTTTAGAACAATGCATGCAACAGAACAGATATCGAAGATAACAGATGCAGTATTGTCAAAAGGATGGAGCTTCGTGTGCCTTCATTGAAGAATTTGGCTGCCATAATCAGCATTGAACTTCTCATAACGGTGAGTATGGAGATGAGCTGATGGTCTGGTGTTCTTCAAAGCAATCTCAAGATCTTCTGGCGTGACCGGACCAACCTTTGGCAACTCTGAAATCCACAAATAAATGTTTTACCATTGTTACCTCTCCATCCCTATATAAAACTTCAAAAAAGATATTTTCTTTCATGTACTTGTGTATTCAAGAACACATGTGCTGCATGAAGTAATCCACATAGAGATAAACTCATCAACAATGAGGAATGAAACAGAAATAGCAGAAACAATAACGAACATGCTCAAGGAAGTGAGTTGATAGACTTGGGATTAAGGTTAAGTTGAATTTTGAGTACTGTTCAAGGGCAAAAATATTTCCTCTGAACAAAATGTTGATGTTAATCATTTGGCTTCACGTACAATAGACCTGAAAATGTTACAAGTATCCGTCTGGGATGGCTTAAAATGAATGGATTAAAGGCTTTCCCAGCTATAACTATGTGGACAGTCAAAAAGCTGCCGGTGGAATTTGCAGACAGATGGTGGTAACTGTTGCCTGCATAAGCAGCATCGAGGTTATTAAGGTTGTGTTTGGTACATTAATATTTCAACCTGCCACTGTTTGTACTCGAGTCCTTTTTGGTCAGAAACTTGTGTTTTTCATCCATGTCGCACCACATCAGTCAGGGTGTTGAGGATTTGCTTTCCAAAGTAGGAAACATCAAATTGGTGCTTCTTGAAAAAGCCCCTAACAGGGATTTCTATAATTCAAACCATCCTCCAACCAAAAGGAAAATTGATCGTTAAACTCAAAAATCCTATGGTACAGTTTATACTTGAAAATGCCAACAATACCAAACAAACTGAGCCCAAGTAAACAGCCAGGCGTTTCTTAAGCATAGCTAAGGAAACAGCTGCTACTCTACTACTTGAGCCGTCCCAAACAGGGCCCAAGTAAATCCCAAATCACATGATTGCAGTAAGAACCAAAAAGTAACCAAGACCAGAAAAAGCAAAAGAAGATACAATGCACAAAACACAAGTATCGGTATCAAGTATTGTATCGAACAACTTGGATATGGATATGGATATTCTATGAAAATGCATGGATACACACGAAAAATATGAAAACGCTTGGATATGCTAGGGAAATGCATACAAATTCCATAAATATCTTAATAACATTAAGTTTAGTGTTAAAATATGCATAAGAATTGTATATTTTAATGGTATATATGATGAAATATATTATAATTAATATAATGGGATGCATAGATATCATACAATTTTACTGATAATGCATCAATCAAGAGTCCAAGACACACATTATATAGGTTTTTTACAAATTAATACATGCACAAATCCAAGCATAAAAAAAGCATAAAACATATATGTTGAGTGGGCTGATTTATGTTGGGCCGATTTGTGTTAGTTTGTTTTCTTTTAAATTAAGAAGTTGTTGGGCCTTGGGCCCATTAGTCTTTTATTTTTAAAAGAATTGTAAGTACTTAGTCGAGTTGTCACCCTACTAGGGGCATCTTTGTAATATCCCATATTTAAGTTAATTATAAATAGAATGAGGGGCTGGCGGCTAGGGTTATGTATCACTATCCTAGTCGACCTTCTTCTCCTTTTCTTCCCTTTCCTCTGTCTATTGCTGAAACCCCCAGCTTTCTCCTCTTCCTTTCACAAGAAACTTGGCCGAAATCAGCACATAAGGCTTTCTACTATATACAACTATATTGATAAAAAAAAGCATATACAAAATTATCAAAAAAAAAAGCATATACAGCTATTATATTTGAATTGTTATATCAATTTTTTTCTATTTTACTTTTATAATTTTTAACTTCAACAAAAAAGTCAACTAAAAAATTAATTCTCAAATTTTTAGTAAACAATATTTTCATTTTTGTAAATAATAAATATGTTATTATAAAATATAAATTAAAGTATCAATTAATAATTTATAAAAATATATAGTCTTAACTGAAAATATATCAAATCTATTAGAATTTCAAAGATACATATCCTATGAAAATTCATAAATTTTAATTACTATAATAATTATTCCATTATTAATATATATTTTTTTTATAAATTTTCTAAATAAAAAAAGGATTTTTTTTTATAAAAATTTAGATTAGTTGATTTGGTAGATTCAATTTATATTATATTCTCAAATATTTTGTAAATATTTTTATTTTTGTAAATAATAAATACATTGTTATTTAATACAAATTAAAATATTAATTAATAATTTATAAAAAAATTAAGATACACATATCATGTGCAAAATTATAAATTTTAAGTATTAAAATAATTATTCTTTTTAATATTTTTATTTGTATAAATTTCTTAAAATTAAAAATTACTTTTTGATATAAATGTGGATTTGCTAGATTATTTATTCCATTGGTTTATAAAATGCTAATTTTGAATATTATTCTTTTTTATCAGTAGTTGGAGTTGTTGAACATAAGTTTATGTTGTTTGTTTGGATTGCATGTAAACATTAACATTAACAAAAGTTAATTTGTTGTGTTTATTGTCATGAAATAAAAGTTGGCTTGGTGGATAAGGATACATGTACCCTTAGGCGCTGGGTGACCTAGGTTTTTTTATCAATAACTGGGTGACCTAGGTTCCTAGGTTCCAATCACACTAAATGCCTTTTTGTATCAGATCGTATCGGCCGATATCGCATGATACACACCAACACGATGGCGCATTGGACTGATACACACAACTAGTAGAATACACCTCTAGTCGTAGCGTATCTCGTTCTGGTACAGTCTGATACTGAGACAATAGGTCTCATATCAGGTATATCGTATCAATATTTTAATCCTTAGGCATGACAAGAATGCTTACAAGGAAAACAACATGAGAAGATTTTTTTCCGTCTGCAAAGAGGCAAGGATGAATAACAGGAACTAAAAATTTAGAGAAGGAAAACAGAAAAATAACCTAAAAGAAATAAACTGACAAAAAAATGCCAAAAGTTCACTTTTCAGAGCTGGGGGTCTTGGGCAGGGTGAAAGTGGGGGTAACTTGGAAAAGAAAACAAACACCGAAGTAGTCGGGAGAACTCAGAGGAAAAAGAGTGCAACACATTTGCTCATTGATAGTGTCTAGTGGGTAGGTGGGGGCACCAGTATATTCATGCAACTACTATTTAGGAGTCACTGCTGTAGATATATTCTGTCTAGCTAGAAAAATAGATAATCAGGTTACATACCGTCCTCTGGCACTATTTCCTGCTTGCCTTCCAACTGTATCATTAACCGTCTCAGTGGCTGCATGGCAGCCTCTTTGCAGACTAATCGAATATCTGAACCTGAATAGCCTTCTGTTCTCTCCACCAGCAAATCATATGGCATCTCTTCACCAGCGACAGATGGCAAAAGTTCTTCAAACATGGTTCTTCTCGCTTCCGGTTCCGGCAGAGGTACAAGGATCTTATTTTTCAAAGTTAATAGAGAACCATATAATGTAGATAAACCCAAATATATACACATACATTTGCAAGATCGTACCATCCCCTTGCTGAAGTAGCAATCAAAAGTATGATGAAAACAAGGAAGGGAGACTGAGAGCACTATAATCCAATTCCTGATGATTTTAAAGAAAACATTTTGCCCCAGCCCAGATGAACCAGTTAACCCTTTCATCTTTCCTACCTTACTCTAGTTAAGCAGATGATTAAACATTAAAAAGAGAAACAAAAAAAAAGAAAGAAAAAGCACGGAATTTTTTTTGCATTGTTCATATTCCATTATTAATAACATATAATGTGCCAACACAAGTTTGTCTTTTGATATTATGAACAGAACAATCTAAAGGATACCCGCTTCTCCAGACGCCGGAGCATAGCTGCATCTAGTTCCCATGGAAGATTCGTTGCAGCCAAAACGAAAACAAGTTCATCAGTCCGTGTCAAACCATCCATCTGCAATCTAATCCGAGATTAATTTTGAGAAAGCAACGAACTACATGATAGAGCGAAAAAAATACTTCTGGGTAAGAAATAAAATATCACTTGCAATAGAAGAAAGAGGTAAATCTTGATGTAGAAAACTTTCAAATAGTAAGGATAACAAAAAATAAGAGACAGGAAAAGAAAAAGAAAAAACAGAAAATAATCTATGAAATGAAAAAATGTCTAACTGAAACGTTGAGAAAGTAATGTTGTGGGTGTCTCAGAAGTCAGAACAACAATTTAGAGTTATCTAGTGGGTTAGGAGGCACCACTACAATGGCAAATTCATGTTCAAGGAATATTTATTGCAGATAAAACAAAAACAAGTTCATCTGTCTGCATCAGACCATCCATCTACAATCTAATCTGAGTAATCAATTTTGACAGCAATTTATGAACTATATAATCTGAGTAATCACTGCATTCTGGAATTAGGACTTGAAGCTTTCAACAGGGATATTAGTGTGCCAAAACTAGGTGAATCATATTTTATGGGATGTACCTTGCCTAAAACTAGGTGCACCTCACCTGGCTTGTTGCAACGCTCTGACCTCTAATATTAGCCTTGAACTTGACATTAAATACATAATTTACTATATTGTAGGGAGCATCTACCATGCTAAAGAAACTGATTAGTTTAGCTTATGTAGAACTAGAAGAACAAGGCTACGACCTTCCTGTAAGTTAAATATACTCTAACCAATTTTTTTTATTGGAAACGATAACTTCATTAAAAATATTTCAAAGTACAACTGTCAACCCCAAGATTATGGTGTTGACCCAAGTTACATACTCATTACACCACTGCCCAAAATATGATCTCTCTTACAGTCCCTTACAGCTAGCCCATTAGCTGACCTTGTCCACTTGAAGCACACACCAATCTCCCTCGTTATATTGAGTATTTCCCTTATCATCTGTCTATATTTCCATGCTCCCAAGCAACCCAACTGCATCCAACCAATTAGCAACTTAGAGTCCTCTTCAATCTCCATTTGATGCAACCCCAATTGTTTGGTGTTATCTTACGCCTTGAAGTAAAGTCATCACCACCGCTCTCAACGAATCTCCCTCTCCTATTGGCCCCGAAAACATAGCAATAATTCTGCCTTCTCCATCTCTAAATACTCCCCCTATACCCGATGGTCCCGGATTACCTATAGAGCTTCCATCAAAGTTCAACTTCGTTCTTTGAATTGTTGGCGGGGACCACAGTTCCTGTACAACAGGCTTTAGGGATGTAGTACCTGCCACCTCACCCCATCTTCTGTAGATGTCATCAGCTGGGAAGTCTTTAAACAGATCACTTGTGTTTCAACCAATGACCAAAGAGAGGAGAAACAAGACTAAATAAAGGACACAAAAGGACAGGATATTAATAGGTGTGTGATTGTCTCACCAGAACCCAGACAGAGACTACAAACAATCGACTAATAAGCTTTTGATATATTTTATTTCTTTCCAAATTTAGAATTACATAGTATTATTGTATGTTAAGTTTTTCTTTAGCTTCCATTTTCAAAAGTGGTGCATCACTTTGTTCAGGTGCATGCCTGGCCTTGATCCTTGTGTGCTCCACCACTTGCACTTTAGTTGCATTTTTTTCACTTTTAAAACACTGGAATATAATGACCTAATATACAGTCTGGATCAAGTAGTAGGAATGCTGGGAAAACAATTTCTGAACCTCATCTTTGGATTTCATCTTGGAATCTCATCCACTTTACCATTTTTTCTATCATTAGTCACCTTGCTTTTCGAGGATAGAAAATTTAATCAACTTATGACATGAGAAGACCTTCATCGACTTAATTTTTCACACTCTTCTACAATGATGAAAAATTACCCTGCTAACTCTTGATACAGGAAAACACTACCGGAAAAAATGCATGCATAAGATTAAAGACATAATATTTCTGTGGAGTGAATAAGTCTAAAATAAAGTACTTCTTGGTAATACATTTCCAAGGGAATGGATTACCAGCAGATTTTATGATTTTTTAACACATCTTATCATAGTTCAATAAATCCAATACAAACCATAGCGAAAACTAAGACATAAATTGACTAAAACAACTGACATCAATTGAATGATCTGAAAATCTCTTAGAGTTTGTTGTATGAATCGCTGAAATGGAAGATGTTATGTATATGAGAAAATAGTACATAATGAATCCCCATTAACTCAAGGTTCAAAAAATAAGTTTCATACTTGGAATTCATCATTACAAATCAAAAGTAATATCTTGTGAAAACTCCTAATATTACCTGCACCTGCCAATTCTGGAATTACCCATGTCGTAGGACTTGCTAACTTGTTAGAGACTCATGTATTGTAATTTTAGGAATAATAACTTCTTTGTATGCACAGCTAGTAGCTAGAAGAAGTATTATTTTAGGAACAAAACAATGGCTTCTTAATATTATGCTATTTTTGATTGACAATGGCCTACTACAGAATAGGAGATTGCAGGATAACATGTGGACTTCCCTCTTTTCAGCATAAATGCTCAATGAACAACTTTCACCTTCATATAGACCATCAACTAATAAAATATTAATCAAGAAACCAAGTACCTTCTTATTAGATCAACATAGTAGATTGAAAGATTTTCCTCTAATCAGGAACTATCTCTCAATAGATGAAGTTGGCATAAGCATGAAGTTCTTACAGTTTCATGAACTTGAGAAAACAGAAATTACCTGTATTAGTAATTCAGTTTTCAAACGCCGACTTGCTTCATGCTCACTGCGCCCTTCACCTCGTTGACTAATGATTGCATCAATCTCATCAAGAAATATGGTTGATGGTGCATTATGCCTAGCAAGTTCAAATAAAACTTTCACCAACTTCTCTGAATCACCTGCATATTGCACAAATTCAAGGACACAATTTCATTATACAACATCAAACTTGAACACTGAGCAAAATTGGTATCCATGTCTATCTCTAGGCATCATATATTTGCAGTAGAATAATGTAGTGTTATGAGTTGATGAACATAATTTCTGGCATTCCAATACTTTTTTTTTCATAATGATCCAGTATAGATCCGAAAATGGCTTTGATGTTTCCAAAATTTCTAAAAAAGTTTGCAGAACACACAAACTACTATTGTATGGAAAGATGGATAGTTTAAACAACCCAAGGTTTTTCCTATATGATTAAGATGATTGAAAGAGAATTTTATTAAAATAGGAAAAACAAAAGAAGTGATTGTTTGTCCCCCCAGGATTCATTAGATCGAGACAACCTGCAAAAGGACGCTGGTACCATAACACCATTAAAACTACACCGAGATGCCCAATAAATCACATTTGATTACCCATGATTTGTTGGAACGGCGATTGGTCATTGAGATTGGAACTCCCTGCTCCAGCAAAATCACAGACCATAATGCACCAACAGCGAATGTTACGAGATGGTGGGAAATCATGAGTGTTGGTCTCAGTTCTGTTACATATCAATGACTGGGAAAGTTGATTGTTGTTTACTGGCTTATATAATTTTTCAATCAACCTAGTGCAGAACATTCCAGATTTTGACCGTGCAGAGGGGTCTGTATCAAAGCCCCTTGCCATTGGAGTTTGGTGGCATAAAAAAGGATAGTAAACTTTGCCAGTGCTCTGTGCAGTATGAGAAGTTGCCAGTGTTCTGCATCAAATGTGGATTGATTGGACACTGGAGATTTGCCTAGCGAAAGGAGGAATTGAAGCTATCAAAGATTTAAAGTATATAATGGCCATGTGTGCAGTCAGTGAAGAAAATTGAAGATGGGGATATGGAGATTGGCTGAGAGCCCCAGGTGATGGACTGAGAATCCACTTCTAATATGATTATCTCTTTTCTATGTTTTTCTTGTCTGTTTCTTATACATTTTTGGGGTTTTTGTCCATCTTTTTAGAAGGTATTCCCTTCTTGTTTTTTGATATTTAATAGATTTTTTCTTATCAAGAAAAAATAAATGTATTTGCAACATACACAAACATTTTATATATGAATCCATCTCAAGGCAGGTTGACTTTCAATGAATTAGGCTTCACATTCTATTGTCATATCTCCTAAATCATTCATATGTGCACATAGTACCACATTGGAGGTCATTAACACAACTGGAATTTTATCCTCAATGGAAACTAGTTCATTATTGTATTAATCTTATGAGTCTTTTACTTGCTATTGTGCCAGATTAGATTTGTAGGTAAGAATCACTAGGTCGTAAAGAAATAGAGGGTATCTTTTCTGCAATATGGTTCCCTCTTCCAACAATTTGGGAAGACAAAAGTGCGATAAAAGTTAACAGTTAAGAATAAAAAGAAAGAATATGCAAAAGTAAAAATCAATCCAAGGAAGCACTTATTTCAAACATTTCCACAGGATGGTATATGGAGTAAAACCTTTGCCCCTTTTTCTACTATGACATCATTAAAGGATGGCAGATTATTGCTGCTTCTTTATCGACCAGAGTTTCTATAGTCTCACTTTAGACCCCTCCTACCTTGATTTCATTTAGATGAATTTTGATGGTTGCAACTTGGGCAATCTAGGCAATTCAGGAAGATGGGGAGTATCCAGGAATTGTCATGGTGTAATCATGGAAATGTTCCTTGGACCCATAGGACACTGAGGTGGTGTTTGATAGCACTTTTCAGACCACTGAAGTCTGAAAATGTTGCTTTTCAGATGCCACCTACGTTTGGGTTGGGTCTGATTAGTAGATCTGAAACCCAATTTCAGATCTAAATAGAAAAGAGCCTCCATAGGTGCTTAACATGCGCTAAGAGGCATTTCAGATGTGGGCGAAAGACAAGAGCCCCCATAGAAAAGAGCCTCCACTCGACAGTGTGGTGCAAGCTTCTCCCTCCACCCTTCTCTCTCTCCCCTCTTCTTCCTTAACGTTCTCTATATCCTCTTCTTCCCGCCACCACCACTGAAACTCTCAGCAGCAGCGTCTCTCTCTCTCTCTCTCCCCTGTCTTCCAGCCACCACTGCTGCAACTCTCAGCAGCAGCAGCAGCGGTTCTTTCCAATGTTATTCTTATATTAATAAATCATTTTTTATTTTTTATAAATTATATTTGTATTAATTATTAAATATTTTAATATTTTTAAGATATTAATATGATAATTATTATTTTTTTATTGCTTCATGGTCTTTATTACTATTTTCATTATTATTTTTACTCTTAATAATTTATTTTCAATTTATAAATTGATATGTACTTTTCAATTTTATTCTTCTTTTAATAAATTATTTTTTATTTTTATAATTTACTCATATTGTTCAATATTATTTTGAATTTAATAAATTATTTTTTATGAAATAATGCAAATTGAACTCAAAATTACCAAATAGTCTATTTTAGGGGTAAAATAGTAAAATCAATGAATTTCAGATGCTGAAGGTTTGATCCAACACAAACCTTCTTTATTCAGAGCCTGTAAAAAGTCGAAAAGCAATTATGTCTCTTTCAGATTTCAGACACTTTTAATATCTTTTTAACTTTTCAGATTTCAGATTTATCAAACGCCACCTGACTCCTACAAGGGGTTAACTATTAACAGTATTACAGGGACTTAAATTGGGTAAATTTAGTGGTGATGGGGGACTTGAAGGTAGTTGGGGATGGTTTAGAGACAATACTAAAGGTGCTTAGAAGTATAAACATATAATGAGAGAGATCAAACAATTAGGTAGGGAACTAAGAACAACTTTCAAGTGGACTCAAAGATCTGCCAACAAAATACCTGATGCCTTGGCAAGACAAGGGGTAAAAAGAAATTAGTTGTATTGGGGGCAGATTTAAAGTATACAGCATAAGTGGGTTAGGTAGCAAGGACTAGTCTATAAAAGGGGTGCATGAAACATTTCCTGTATGTCATACTTCATTTCATAAATCGACAAAAACCCTGATTGCTACCAATCAAGGAGGAAAAAATACCATTCCCTCTATCATTTGCTGGTTCATAGGAGAAAAAGGAATTGAAGGATTTATTTGGTTTTAGAAAGGCCCTCTTTTTGCATGATGGCAGATGCTTGTGGTTTGGCTTTGAAAGAAACAACTCCTTTAAGAGGAAATTTATGTTTACCCCATTTGCTGTCATTGGTGTAAAAGGTGGCAACAATGTAAACTCTTCTTGAAAGTCTTGTTGCTCAAATATTTATTTTATTACTCATCAAAAAAAAAGAAAAAGAATGAAATACAAAGAATTTCAAAAGACCAAATCAGGATAACAACAGAAAGATTGTAACATACCACGCCATTTGCTAACAACGGATGATGCTGAGATATTGAAAAATGTGGTTTTACATTCAGTTGCAACAGCTTTGGCAAGCATAGTCTGCAATGTGAATAATTCCAATTAACAGTGTATCTGTACATCTATATAATTCAACCAGCCAGCGGTCAAATGGGTCAACCCGATGACATCAGTTAAAATATCATTAATAAATAAAGAAAACAGCTAATAAATAGGTTATGTAGGAGAACATGATCATATAACAGTGGTAATTATATAATAAAAGGAGAGAGAAAAGGAATAACACAAATCAGTAGAATGTTCAACTTTGAAATCCCTGTGTTTCAATGAAAGAGTAACTCCAAACGACCTTCCTTTTTTCTGATAGAAGAGGATTATTTTACATTTTACTTGGGAACAGGCTAGTATTATGGTATTACCTTCACCAAGATTTCAACCAAAATGATAAAGGCCTGGAAGTTATAGCTTATACAGGGTGATCAGTACAGATATTGAACTGTAAGAAGATCAAGAAGGCTGTAAGAAGATATTAGCTTTTTAGTGGACCAAAGGTTGTAGCTTGTGAGCTGGTTTCGTCTTTGGTTTATTTTCGAGTTTAGAAGTATAGTTGTGGGGTTTTTTGAATGGTTCTTGTCCTTGTTGGTTTTGAGTAGTTGAGTTTTGTCTTTGGGCTGTTTTTGGGATCCTTTTCTGTTAAGGGGCTTCTGTCTTTTGGTGATTATGTGGGTTCAATCCATCTGAATTTAAACATCAAAACCCTTCTGGAGGAGGCTTCTAATAATGCATATAAGGGACAGGGCAGTGGAAGGTAACCTGAATATTCCATTCCTCCAAGAGGACATTAACATCCATGGAGTTCATTGAGTCAATCCTGGAGGAAGAAAGAAAACTAAAAACAGTCCACTTGATTCTGCAAACAGCCTCCGGGGGAAAGATGAGAATTTTCAAAACACCTGCAGTTTCACTTGCTCAAAAGGAAATAAACAGTAGCAGAAAAAGTCAGCTGCTGGGGCTCGGCATAGAGGTCATTACCCAAGCAAAGAGAGAGCATCCAATCAGGATCCTGCCACCTGGAGCTACGGTTAGTCCAGTGGAGGCGGCAGGAACCTACAACAGCATGCGAGACATGCCAAGGATAGCTACAGGCAAAAAACAGGTGGTTGTGGGACTGGGACTCCTCACCCTGGCGACAGAGGACACAAACCCTGTCAATCCCTTGGATGCCATGGCTATACAACCGATCCTTAGTGGGAGAGGGTTCCCCAAGCTGCAACCCAAAGGGTGAAAGAGTGGCACGGGATGGTCCCAGGAAACCAAATAAGAGAAGCCCATTGCCACTGGTTACCCCAGGGCTTGATATGATCCCAGGAAGAACGAAGAGAGAAAGGACCATTAGGCTCAGGGATCCAGGCAACCTTGCCAGGACCAGCAGAATTTAGAACATGCACCTCCAATGGGCTAGTCCAAAAGTAGTAGATATGTACCCAACTACCAAGGTTTGTCACACTGAAAGCTCCCTTTCTTATTCTGATGCTCAAGTGTGGCAATGCAAACATGGCTTGCAGGTAGCGGACAATGATACAAACCACCAAGTTGGCAAATTTAATAGGCTAACAAGTTCATAAAACAAATTTTTATATTCTGAACCAAGTATTAAAATATCGATATCCAAACATGGGTATCAGTATTGGCCGATACTCATCTTTTTTTTAATTTTTTTCCTTTTCCTTTTTCATTTTATAATAATAAGGGGGTTGGGGAAAAGGGATGGGATGGCTTAAAAGTTTAAAAATTGGGGCGTATCGTATCAATATTTTAATCCTTGTTCTGAACTTTAATTGTATAAAAAGAATGGATCTGGATAAAAGAAATTTTAAATAAAACATGAAAATATACATAATTTTAACTGCTGACTAAATAAGATTACCCAGTGTTTTCAATTGTTTTTTTTTTTTTGATGAATAATAGTAAGTTTATTGATTCAGAAGCAAATTAGAGTGAGTTCATACATCATCCCAGTGAGAGGTGCGAGCTGCAGCCCCTCCTTGAAACTTACAAGTAAACTAGGAAAGAAAAACAAGAATCACAACTGAGCCCAAAATAATTCTTCCCTATTTACCCCTTGCTTAGCTAACACATCTGACAAGGTATTTGGACTAGTGATCCAGTCACAATCCCAGTTCGGGTCATCCTTTAACCCACTATATTAGAAAAAACTGTTGACTTGGTTAATGGCCTATCAATACAGATGGTTTAACCACTGATCCATTTGACCTATTCAACAGATTACCAGTTTTTTGAACTATTTACTTTTGAAACTTTTTAAAATGATGATATCACAAGCTGACCTGGACAGAAAAGTGGTTCAGCCTTCAGGCTGGGTTTTTAAAACACTAAGAGTATCAAGCTACTGGCTTATGTCTAACAAAACAATTAGACTTAAAAATTAATATTATCACATTATTGTTGTTGTGGTTACTCTGTATCCATGTGCTTGGTAGTTTTTGTACCATATTTCTATGTGCTTGGTAATGCTGGTAATAAAAGATAGACATTGGAAGTCAAACCGTCCAAGTAATGCAAACCATTCTCGTTATATTAAAAGATGTGAAATTGAAGAAATATGATCCATCTTTTGCTATAATCAATAAATTTTACTTCAAAAGACATTTTCACTTGGACAAAAAAGATGGCCGTTCATGAAGCATACATTTAATAGGAAAAAAAGTGAAGAACAGTTTTAACAGACCTTTCCTGTTCCCGGGGGCCCAAAAAGAAGAATACCTTTCCATGGTGATAGAAGGCCAGTAAAATACCTAAAATACAGACAAGAATTTCAGCTTCATTACAAAAATATGAAAAAAAAAATTATCAATTTTATCATATAAAATGACTTGGTATATTTGTACATGATTTTGCATTAAACAAAGAAGGAGAGAGAATTCAAACTCCAGGGAACAACTTTAGATCATCCAATACCATTATTTGGTTCCATGATCCCTATAAAACTTGAAGTTCCCTTTCATTTCTTTTCCTTCTTTTGTTTTATGCAGATAGTGGTTCTAGTTTCAAGCACTAATGTCCAGAATCTTCAATTTCAATATCTCAATATGCATCTCAAATGGATATTAACATCATTCTTGTTTTAGGTAACCAAATTGATCAGTGTTGAATAAAAGAAACAAAGAAAAAGGTTTGAAAAGGAAAGCGTTAAGTGTATTATTAATGGGTTAATGATAATGATTCACAAGACCTACTTGGGATACTTTATTGGCATGACAACTGCTTCCTTGAGAAGTCGTTTCGCATTCTCTAGCCCCTTGATGCTTTCCCACTTTACATCTGGACTTCCACGAATAATATCCCTGTAAAGGAAGCATGAATAGAAAATTAGCATTAATATAATACATAGATTATGGCTATTTATATATAAATCGAAACTTCAAAATGTGTGTTACAAGCTAATAAAAGCATTGTCATTTTCAATTACCTACATAAACTCTCAGCCAATGCACGTGTTTCTGCAGACTCCAGAAGAGGAAGTAGTGGCCTCTGCCTGCAAATATAAGCATCAGAAAGTTAAGCACGCTTCTGCAAGAGAAGCTTTGTTGCCACAGTGCTACACTTTCAATAGAAAAAGTATGTTAATGGTGTCATCATAAAATTAAGTCCTTCATGGAGATCAAGCAAAAGGTTTCGTCCACATACAAAAAGACAGTGTCATGGACATAACAATTAGAAAACCTCTAATTGCAAGTTATTATGAATAAGGTCATTACCCAATATTGATCTTGGTCCAAGCTATCTAGGCTCTGGGGTCTTGGGAGGTTTGAACTGGTAGAAGACCTAACCTTTGACACTTTATTTTTTCTTTCTGCACAAAGTGGCTTCTCTCAGACTAAAACCCATGCAACCTGAGATTTTACCATTTTCATTCTTACAAAGAAAAAATGAAAATGTGAAAGTTGAAATATGTTAAAGGAAGGAATCTTCTTGTTATTCTATAATCCTATATACATTTTACACATGATTGGCCAAGTTCTTGTATTAAGAATTTCACAGTTTTCTCACATTCTTCATCCCATAACTTATGGGCACAGTTTGTCCATATATATGCATGTAGTTTGGTGATTTAGTGTAAAACTCAGTCTCCACAAAAAAGATTATTTAATAACTTTCAGAAACAATCCTAAAAATATATTAAGTTTATAATAGAATAAAATACAACTAAGTCACATGTTTTAAGTCAACCGTTATGTTAAACCTTCTTGCTTGATCAACAAATAACATCATAGTCTTATATGTAACACCATAATCATATCTACCGCATAAAATTATTTAAGAACATGAAATATAAGTGAAGAGTATTCTCAACAATGAGCTTTTAAGATAACCAAGTTCAGAGATCTTAAAGATTTCAGTCTGCCTTTGAACATTGTAAGAGAGTAGATAGTAAAGCATTTTTTTTATAAATAGTAGATAATAAAAACTTTTTTTTTATGAATAGTAGATAGTCAAAACATTAGATCACTGGATCAGTTTTGGAATTTTCATCTTCAAGATTGCTATGATTTCTTATCTGCATAGGTTCTTCATTCTGAAAAATAACATCAGATGATCCAAAATGAGTTTAGGTGCTTGGACACACAGACCATTTTAGAATTGAACAGCTTTCCCTACTTTAAAAAGGCAATTATGGCAAACATGGAAGTCACTAGCTCACCATGCAGAAGCTACAAATAACCAAAGAAAGATAGCGATAATGGCAAGCATGGCATCAGTTCAGGGGCTGGCATCTCTTCATTACTTTGTCAACAGGTTACAAAGGTTGTGTTAGCTCTTCATTACCTTCAGTGATTTCACCCTTCCATGGGACCTTTGTGGAAGGCAGACAAATTGTGGATCAAATTTTAGTGGCAAATGAGTGTGTTGTTGAGAAAAGAAAGAATAGAGGGAAGGGCTTGTTGTATAAAGTGGACTTGGAAAAGGCTTATGATCTAGTGGATTGGGGTTTTTTGTTAGAAATCCTTGAGAAAACTGGATTTGGTGCAAGGTGGAGGCTATGGATCAAAGGCTGTGTTAGCTCAGTCCACTACTCGATTCTTATTATATGGTGTTGCAAAAGACCTTTTCCTAGCTAAGAAAGGGATAAGGCAAGGTGACCCTTTATCCCCTTTCCTCTTCACCTTAGTGGCAGAGGTTTTAAGCAGAACGATAGTGGTTGCAAATGCAGAAGGGCTAATTAAGGGTTGGAGGATCACTAGAAACCAAGTGATAGTTTCCCATCTTCAATTTGCTGATGACAGAGTTCTGTTTTGTGAGGATGTTGATCTAGAAATGATAAGAAACTTGAAGGTGTTGCTTGATAACTTTGTGAGCTTCTCTAGATTGGGAATCAATTGGAGTAAAAGTGGAATTGCTGGGATTAGTTTGGAAGAAGGGGAACTTCAGAGCTTCATGAAGTTTTTGGGTTGTGAGATTAGGACTTGGCTGGTAACATACTTAGGTTTATCTTTGGGAGGAAACTCTAGGTCTAATGGGTTCTGGAATCCAGTGATGGAAAGGTTTGCTAAGAAACTAGCCCTTTGGAAAAGGAATTACATCTTTATAGGAAGAAGAATCACACTGATTAGAGCCACTCTAGAAAATCTTCCTATTTATTTTCTTTCCACCTTCCACATCCTGTCTAGGATAGCAAGGTAATTAAAGAAGTACATGAGGAACTTCCTGTGGGACCGGGTGAGGAAAAAAAGGATCACTTGGTTAAATGGGAAGTGGTTAGTGGACCAAAAGAAAAAGGGGGGTATGGGTTTAGGAAACACTGCCTTAGTAGGTAAATGGTGTGGAGGTTCCCTTTTAAAGGAGATAGACCATGGAAAAAGGTAATTGAAAGCATTCATGGTAGGGATGGTAATGGCTGGGATGCTAAAATTGCTCCCCACTCAACATCAGCTTCTCCTTGGAAAGCAATTCACAAGGTTTACCATACTTTTATTAATTTCATTCAATTTGATGTGGGAAAGGGTGATAAAATCTGCTTATGGGAAGAGCTTTGGGTAGGGGAAATACCATTAAAAGACCGATTTCCTGAACTTTTTCTCCTCTCCAACCTTAAGGCCGTGTTTGGTTTGAAGGAAAAAGTAGGGAAAGGAAGGGAAATGTAGGTAAACCTTTACAAGCCTTGTATAGGTTTCCCTACATTTCCCTTCCTTTCTCTAGAAAAGGAGACCTTTTTCTTGCCTCTCTCCTCATATGTGCTTCTTATGCAAGGATAGTGGAGAGACGCTCTCCCATTTATTAATCTCTTGTTCCTTTGTAACTCGAATCTGGGAGTTTTTTTCTTCTCTTTTTGGCTGCAGGCATGATCCCCCTCAAGAGTGGTGGACATCTTCAACCCAAACTTCTTGAGGCAACCAAAGAAAAGAGGGAGGATATTGTGGAGAACTACTAAAGCAGCAATTAGTTGGCTAGTGTGGGAACAAAGGAATAACATAATTTTCACAGGAAAGAGTATAACTGTTGAGGAGGTAATAGACAACATAAAAGTGAAGGTTGCATATGGGTAAAGACTTTAGACTGCTTCCGGATTTTCTCAATCAATGATACTAAGAGCTTGGACTGAAGTAGCACGATCCTCAAGGGATAAGGAGAGAATCAGATTGCAATGGAAACCCCCAGAAGGCAACAGAGTAAAGTTGAATTTTGATGGGAGTTCTTTGGGTAACCCAAGTTTGGCAGGCATAAGAGGTGTAATCAGAAATTCTGAGAGCAGAATCTTGGCCTTATACTTAGGGCCACTTGGCATTGAAAATTCTGTGAAGGCTGAAGTGATGGCTTTGCTACAAGGACTGCAGTTAGCTAAGCAACTGGGCCTTAGACAGCTAGAGGTAGAAGGGGATTCTAAAGTAATCTTGGGCAAGTTATAATAAACATTTCCCATGGAACCTCAGACATGTTCTTAGGGAAGTAGAAAGGATTGCGAAAGATATAGGTGCTGATCTCAAGTGGGTGAGAAGGACTGCAAATGGGCTAGCTGATTCCCTTGCTAAGCAAGGGGCTACAAAGCAACAACTTTTTTGGGCTTCATTGTAAACTACCCTTGATTATTTGGGTTGACATTTTGGTCATCAAGTTGTACTCGCATATATAATTAAATTAACAAAATTATCCTTTGCTGATCAAAAAAAGAAAAATGTAATGTTGAATGAACCATCTAAGAAAAGGATTGCATATCCATGCATCCAAACAACCAAAATTCTGTCCAACTTACAGCCTAGTGGCTATAATTCAAGGGTCCACAGTTCCTTTATTCCCTCTTCAACAAGCTACAAACAGATAAAGGTACTGTCGGATGAGCCATCTGAGAGATGGATATATGCATGCATCCAAACAGCCAAAGTTCTATAGATCTATAGAAATTTGGAGTTCAGATGATAAAAGGTCATTTTCAAAAAAAAAACAAAAAAAACAAAGAAAAAGAATCTTTTCTTTCTAGTTCCAGCTCTCTTGAAAACTTTCAGTTTCCTTATAAAACTTAAAAGATCAACAGGAGTTGATTTAAGATAAGTTGGTTACTGTTTTTTCTTTTCTTCTTTTTTCCTATTTGTAATGGAAATGAAAACCTTAAGTTGGTTACCTTACCTTTTCAAAACAAATTACAAATAACTTTGATGTGCAATGCTGAAAATATCCTTCTTTTCTTTTAATAAGATATTCACCAGTCAATGATTCTCTAGATCATTCTACAAAGTTGATGGATTTTTTCCAATGCTTCATGAATGAGCCCAACCTCAAATGATCAAGTTGTTCCTAATAAATTTCTTGTTTCTCACCCTTACAGAGAATGCTACGAGTAGGAATTTAAAAGAGAAGATCAGTTTTTAAATACTTGAAGGTATGATATCTGCCTATCTAAATAGCAGCAACACTCCATCTCCCACTCTGATGTGGAGTATCATGGCTCAAGACTCCTGGAGTCAATCTTATATATCTTGACTTGTGGTTTAATTTTCATACTTCCAACAAGAATTCTACTGATTTTGAAAGGTTATTTAATCAAGCATATGCTTTTTTTAATACTTATAAGGCTTACATTGCATGCACACGAAAGATAAACATATACATATATATATGCCCAAGAGGCAGATTAGTCATATTTTATTTCATAATAGAATAAACAGCATGAACTACTCAACAAATTAAGCCATTTGCTTGTTATGATGTGAAATAATTGAATATGAACACACAATTGATCATGAGTATTCCAAGTTTACAAGTTGTTTCATGTTATAAGCCTATGAACACATTCAATAAATAAATCAATACTAACTGGATGTATTATAAGAATCTCGTATTGCATTTTAACCAAAGAATTCCTTCAATAGTTATTTAGTACAACTGCCCTTCATAGGTCTAATGAAAATTGTCCATCAGGAACTAAGCATTAGAAGTATTTATGAAGTATTTTTCAAAGTACTCAAAGCAGCTAACAAAGTAGCAAGATTCATGAAAGCATACGGTCTTTCACTAGTTCTGTTAGAAGAATCTCCATTAAGCTGCCCTGAGCTTCTTTTCTCCTGAAATTAAATGACATAGAAAAGCAAGTATTGAAATACTATGTCAATGATGCTGAAACAAACTATAACCTTCTGTATTCAATGCAGCAAGCAACACCAACCTGATTCCGGAACTGCTCATAGATGGCCATACCAGATGTGTTCATAACATGCTCAGTCCCATGGGTTGACCCATTTGAAGAATTCCCGTTACAAGCTCTGGCTTGATCACGCCCTGCACCCTCCTTCTCTTGCTCCCTTTTTCCCCCAAACTTGGCATCATAAAACATCTTAAAATCCTTAAGAAAGAGGGAAAAAAGAAGAAAATTATAACAAGCTCGATCTAGTTATCCACATATACAAGTCGAAGGCAATCAAAATTCATAAGAAAACAAGAAACGAGCTGGCGCCTGGTAGTAAGAACTAAGATCATCAAACTTGGTTAAGCTTAGAAATACTAGATGACTTTGCATGCAGATACCTATGAACTGAATCAAAATGCCAATCCATATCAACAGAAGAAGAAAGAAAGACACGAAAGAGAACTGATAAAGTTGAGTTAATTGAAACCAAGAAACCACCAAAATTTAAACGAAACAAAGGAATCAACAAGAGATTCATTACCTGGAATGTCCAACGAGTAAGAGAGGGCTCGTCCCCCATTGTCGTCGTTTTAGAGAGAAGGGAGACGGAAAGAGAGATTCTTGCTCTGTTTCTGTCTCTTTCTGTCCTTTCTCTCGTCTCTCTGTTCAGTAATAACTTACCGTGCACAAACCATTAAATTCTACAAAAGAGTGTCATTGTGACCTCCGGCCGGAATCTCTGCTCTTGCCTCTCTCTCTCTCTCTCTCTCTCACTTACAGGCTTATAGCAAAACAGTGTTGAAATGGATTGTGCATGTGCTGGAGTTCGCCGTGTAATAGGAGGGAGCATCTTGTGATGGTTGTACCGGAATCGATGATGTCATTTCCAATACACGGCGGGGATGTTCTGTGGTTGTTTTTATTTTCTTTTATTATTTTCAAATAAAAAAATAGGGTAAATTATAAAGACCTTTCCTGTATTATGGAGTCTGTGATAAAAATCCCTGTATTTTGTTTTGCAACAAAGACCCCTTATATTATGATCGTGAAACAAAAACCCTCTTTCGTTAGTTTTTGTCAATATTTTATAACTTTTATATTATCCTTCTACTTTAGATTCCTTCACATTTCTCTCTCCCCCTTCCCCTTTTTTCTTCTTCCCGCTTTCCTCTATTTTCCGTTCTTCTCACAACTCGTTGCAGCGGCCAGCCTCTACAACACAACCGTCAAGTAAGCTTTGATCCTCATTCTTAGGTCGAACGCTTGTTGCACCATCCCCCCATATTCCCTTAGATACCGTCGTTCAACAGTCCCCAACCCCTTCAATATTTGTAGAGGAATATTGGTAGGAATCATTGAAGCTCTGCATGAAGATCTCTTGTTTCGCCATGAGCCCTCGCCAAGTTGACATATAATCTGGGTTGCATGTATAATCCGTCATCTTCTCCATTTCCACGATCTCTGTTACTCGGTTAATCAATCGGTCCTTCGTCTTGCCAATCAGATTATGCGCTGCTCTTCTAGTGCAAGATTGAAGTGTGGGTAGTTCTCTAAATGTGTTGGAAAATGGGGTCTTGGAGGAGAAGCTCTGAAACGCGTCTGAAGACATTATCTTTAGAACGTTATTTGCCCCTACTCAGTTTCACTGAGTTTGTTGTTGGGTTACAGGCAAATCTGTTCCCATGATACAACAGAGCCTTGGGCGAGAATCTGCAACCAGCAAAGTTGAAGAATCTCCAGAGAAACCTTCTGTGAGACTGTAGTAGACCGGACTGAGAGAGAGAAAAAGTGGATTTCGAAAATGTGTGTTTTTTAAGTCTGATTCATGCTCCTTAAATAGTTTATGGAGAGGTATGAAGAAAAGGTAGGTGCTGGTTCAGAGAAGGCACCTTGAACAGTCACAATTTCAAACACTGTGCCTATTTAAAAAGTAGTTAACAGTTAATGACTGTTAACTTTGAATTGTGCCTCTTGATCACACCCAATCAAATCGTAACTGTTGATCTCATCAACGGTGATTAATGGTCAGCATCGCACCAAAACCAAAGCCGCCATTTGCGAGCCACGCGGGTGCGCGCGAAGTACGAGCAAAGTGCGCCTCTAAAACGCCTAATTGCGCCGCACACACGCGTGCGCATGTGTTGCGCGGTATCAAACCCCCATACTCTCATCTACTATTTCTAAGGAGTGTAAATCAGCTCCTATTAAAATACTAAAAGCAAATCTTATAATTTTCCAATGTGGGACAAGTTCAAAACTAGGTTTTGTAAGAGAAAAGCTAATTTTTCAATCAAGTGTGCATGTGCATTTTCTCATGTAATTGACCAATCAAACCCATTGGATTTAATCTCTTGTGAGATTAAAATCTAGCAATCCCCCACATTGATTGATCAATTACATAGTTCTCTCTCAATTCAAACTACTATGACACAGTTATGCATACAAAATGTGTTTATCAACTTAAACCTTTTATTAGTATATATATCTCAGAGCCTTGTCAAAGTTATTGGTGGTAAGACCTTAAACCAATTACTCTCAAGACAAACCGAAAACACCTATACACAGAAAAATGTTCAGTCTCTGCAAGAGTTTCAAGTTTTGCTCAGCACTGTTATGGCAATGTGCTTCTTTCCTAGTTTCATGAACAATACCTAGAGCAAACCCAAACTCTCATGAGAAGCGGCACTACTTCTATGTTCACATAGGTGAAGTTCCACTATGTGTTCCGTTATTTGACACATTTTAGAACTTTATTAAAAGTTTAACTCAACCTCTGATCATAACGGGCAATATTGTTTATGTTGTGATGAGAAATTTCTCAATGTCAGTGTAACAGTCACATTGTTGTAACTTATTGTTACCCATTAAACCCAATACTGATGGTTTTTCAGTTCAGGTTGAGTTACCATTACAGGTGACTAAGTAAAGGGTTTTAATCTCATCTCTTTGGTTGTCATTCTTACCAATTCTTTGGCCAAGCCCTTGGTAAGAGGATTAGCCAAGTTTTTACTTGACCTCACATAGGTTATAGTGATGACTCCATCTTGAATCAGTTGCCTAACAAATTCATGTCTCAGACTTATATGTTTGGACTTACCATTGTAGGTACCACTATAGGCTCTTGACAGAGTTGTCTCACTATCATAGTAAATAGAAATTGGAGGCATAGGACTAGTTCTAAAGTTTTATATCTAATAATAAATTCCTAATCCATTCAGCCTCTTTTCCAGCAGCCGCTAAGGCTATGAATTCTAATTTCATGGTCAAGTGAGATATACAAGTTTGTCTCTTGGATGCCCAAGAGATCGCACCCCTACCAATGATGAAAATCCATCCAGAGGTGGACTTGTTATCTCCATTACCAGTAATCCAACTTGCATCATTATACCCTTCTAGTACAGCTGGATAATCACAGTAAAACAAACCAAGTTCCAAGGTTCTCTTGAGATACCCAAGAACTCTCCTAATTGCATTCTTGTGCTCTGCATCGTGATTACTTGTAAACCGATTGAGTTTACTTACTGCAAATGCAATATTAGGTCTGGTACAAAGCATAGCATACATCAAGTTTCCTACTACACTAGTATATTCAAGTTGTGCAATTGCTCTACCAGTATTTTCTACTGGCTTTATACTAGAATCATATGGCATGCTATATTCTTTAAACCCTAAATGCTTAAATTTCTCAAATACTTTCTCAATATAATGTGATTGRCTTAATGCATAGCCCYTACTATGYTTTTTAACTTTTATTCCCAAGATGGTATCTACTTCTCCTAAATCTTTCATCTTGAAGACAGATGATAAGTAGTTTTTAGTTTCATTTATGCCAACCATATTTGTAACCACAATAAACATATCATCAGCATAAAAGCATACAATTATTCCATAATTTTCAATGAATTTTGAATAGATGCATCTATCAGCACTATTATGTTTAAAACCAAAAGCTATAATGCAATAATCAAATTTCTCATGCCACTGTTTAGGTGCTTGTTTTAATCCATATAGTGATTTAACCAGTTTACAAACTTTTTTCTCATTTTCAGGAAGAACAAATCCTTCTGGTTGTTCCATATAAACCTCTTCATTTAAATCACCATTTAAGAAAGCAGTTTTAACATTCATTTGGTG